CTTTCTTGTCTCTACATTTCCTGGTTTAGCCCTAGATTTGGAGTCAGAAAAGTTGGGTTCAAATCCCAGTCTTGCCATATTTTATGGGACTTAGGCAGCTAAGTGGTGCAGTGGATAGAGCACCAGGCTTTGAGTCAGGAGGACTTGAGTTCAAATGTGGCCTCAGGCACTTCCAGGCTCTGTGATACTGGGCAAGTTGCTTCATCCTGTTTTCCTCAGTTTCCTCATCTGTAAAAGGAGCTGGAGAAGGAAATGGCAAACCATTCCAGTATCTCTGCCAAGAAAACCCCAAATGGGGTCAGGAAGAGTCAGACACAACTGAACAACAGGGGCCACGTCACCCTCATTCTCTGGGTGTGAGTTCCCTCATCTGTTAAAAAAGAAACACTGGATGGTTTCCAGGTTCCCACCTAGCTCTACCTCATGATCTACTGCATCCTTGTTGAGTCCCTATATATTTCCCCCCTGGCCTCCCCGCCCTTTTTTTCTCTGTCCCACCCTGAGGTAGAGGCTGGCTTGTCACAGGCAGGACACTGGTCAGGGTCTGGGTTGGGTGGTGGAAGGGAGAGAGAGCTGTCAGGATGGAATTTCATTGCTCACCCATTGGTCTGCCCTGGTAGAAGGCTCTGCCTTCTCCTGTCCTCACCTCATCCCTGCTTCCTGCATGACTGAGCTCAAGCACTCCTTTCTACCTGAAATCTTTTCTGCTCCCTCCCTAGGAGATCCCTCCCTCCCCAAACCACCTTGAATTCTTGCATTCATTAAGTTTATGTGTATATGCCGACATGTTGTCTCCCCTTTAGAATATAAGCTACTTGAGGGCACGAATTGTTTCACTTCTGCCTTTGTATCCCCAGCTCTAAGCACATTGCCTGGCCTAAAGAAGTGCTTAATAACCATTTGTTGACTGACTGAGTGACTTCTACCTCCCAGAATCCCTAGCTTTCTTCAAAGCACAGCTTAGGGGTCACCTCCTACATGAAGCCTTTCAGCTTCTCTCACTTGTTAACAATTCTCTTTCGTTTTTGAAAGAGCTTCTATTCATTGAAATGCATACACATTGTATCTCTCAAATAGAATACAAATTTCTAGAGTGTAAGGATTATTTGTTTTTTGTCTTTGGTTTCCAACATTTAGCACAGGGCCTGGCACTTAGTAGGGGTTTAATTAATATTTGTTGAATTGAACTTTTGAGTATTTATTGAATGAGTTGAGTAATTATTCAATGCTTGTTGCACACAAGATTTTGGCTTCAGAATATTATCAATGTGTTCTTCCTTGCCACCCTAACTTTTCTCATCCACTCCTCTACCTCATCTTCTAAACGTCTTGGCCAGATTGGAAATGGAGTACAATTTGTGTTCTGTTGGGCATTAGGCTGGAATGGAGACAAAAGCTTTGGTACAGATGGAGTTTCCTGGGTCTGGAAATCCAGTGACATTTGTCCTCTGATGTCTCAGCCTGGAGTGGAGGTGACCCTGGGTTCTCAAACATTATGCCAGCAGACAGAAGCTCCAACAATTCCCACCAAACTCAAAAGGTATTGAGAATAGGCTTTGAAGGGGACTCTCTTTGTGGTCCAAGGGACAGCCTAGTGACCTTTGGCAATGCTCAGTTCCAGGGTCAGCTCTGGGCTGCCATGAGGCACTGGAGGGTGGCTCCTAAACCATACGTGAGGATCTCAGCAGGCATCATATTGACTTAGAAAACCACATATTAACATATCTGTGTTCTACTGTATCTTCATCTATTTTATTATGGTTGGGCCACCATATTGGATTCCTCTGATTTACAAGCCACTGGCCCCTGCCATTTCTTTATCGCAAGCATTATTTTCTGACCCTTGTGCCATTCTTTCCTCTACCCACGTTTCATGGAATTCTCCCATTTTGAATGGATATATTGATTGAGTTTGGAGGATATTGCTGATTTCCTATAGTTTTTCTTTATTTCTTCTTCCTCTATGGCATGTATTGCTATGTAAGTGGTAATACCTTCATGGTGGTCTTTTTACCTATTTATGTTCTGTACCACAAGCATTGCGAGGAGAAATGACCAGGTAGCCAATGAAATGATGTGGATTTTTTGTGGCTTTGGTGCCAACAATGAAACCAATTCTGCCATGTCCTTTGGTTCTCCCAGGAGAACCCTCAGGCCATCCTTTCATTTAGCTGGAACATTCTTAGATCTTTTGTTTTCATTTCTAGTGAGCATGCCACCATTTATATATCTAAGTTCATCTAGTCAGCTTGGTGGTCCTTTACAAAAGGCGTTCACATTGACAAAAACACAGAATTTCAGAATTGGGAGGGACCCCAGAAGTCATCTGGTTCAACCCATCCTCACTATAGCATGCCTGACAAGTGGTCACTCATTCTCTGTCTGAAGACGTTTAGTGAGGGCAGACTCGATAGCTCCTCGAGCAGCCCATCTCACTTTGGGATAGTTTTAGTTGTCAGTTCTTCTGCCTCAATTCACCTCTTTGTAACTTCTACCTGTGGCTTCTAGTTCTGTCTTCCAAGCCAAAATGAACAAGCCTGTTTCCTCTTCCATATGACAGTCCTCTAAATGCTTGAATACAATCAGCTTTTGCCCTTCCATCTTTTCTTCTCCAAGCTAAACATCTTCAATCTGTCTTCATATTATGTAGGCAGAAACCCTGTCACTATCATGGTTACCTCTTCTAGATGCTGACAACAAATATATACAAAGAAATTGAATACAAGTGGTTTGAAAGGAGGGCATAAGTAGCTGAGGGGTCAAGAAGGACTTCACAAGGAAGATTGTGCTTGACTTGTGTCTTCAAGGAAGAGAGGGAACGTGCAATGGAGGGAATGAAGGAATGCATCCCAGGTATGCAGATTTGCTAGTGAAAACACATGGAGATGGGAGATGGAGAGCCATGAGTGAGGAACAGAGAGAAGGCCTGTTTGTGGGGATTGTAAGTGTGTGAAAGGGAGGATCATCCAATGAGGCCAAAAGATAGGCTGGGGCCAGGTTGTGCAGGGCTTTAAAAGTTAGACAGAGGAATTGATATTTTCTCCTAGAGGCAATAGAGAGTCACTGAAGTTGATTGAGTAGGGGTAGTTACATGGCCAGATTTGTGATTAAGGAAAGTTACTGTGTGTAGGGTGGACTAGAATGGTGAGTGAATTGAGGCTGAGAGACCCATTTGGAGGCTGTCTCAATTACTCAGGTGAGAGGTATTGAGATCTTGATCTAAGGTGGTAGCTGTGTGAGAGGAGAGAAGGGGTCGGATGTGAGAGATGTTATGGAGGCAGAAACAGCAAGATTTGGTAATTGTTTGGAAATGTGGAGGAAGAGAGAGTGAAGAGTTAAGGGTAATGCTGAAGTTGCAAACCTGGGAGACTGGAAAGACAGTGATGCCTTCAACAGAAGAACTCAAACATCCAAACCCTTTGACCCAGAGATTCTACCACTAGGCTTGTACCCCAAGGAGGTCATTGGTAAGAAGAAAGCCCCCATGTGCATCAAAATATCGATAGCAGTACTCTTTTTGGTTGCAAAGAAGTGGAAACAAAGTAGAAATATATATCCGTTGATGGAAAGGGAAGGGCTAAAGAGATTGTGGCACATGAATGTAATGGAATATTACCGTGCTGTAAGAAATGACAAATATGTTAAATGCAGAGAAATACAGAGAAGCATGGAAAGATTTACACAATCTGATGCACAGTGAAGTCAGCAGGGCCAAGAAAACAACATACAATGGTGTTGATAATCCCCTCTCCACTTCTTTCTTTTTTTAAAAAAGAATTATTTGTTATGTGAAATGACTCTCTGGAAGGGGAGAAGGAGAAGTGAGGTAGAAACCAAAGACATTAATAAAAATGTGTTTTTTAAAGTACTTCTTTGGCCTAGCTTAGTGAAGCTTCTACTCAGACCAAGCCCATGATTCTGGGAACCTGGCATTCAGTCAGCCTGCTCTGCAGAGATGTCTTTGGGGCTGCCACCTACTGTTAGAATCATAAATTCCCCCTCACTTATCTTTCCTGTCACTTTAACAAAGTTCTTTTTGCTAGAATATCTTGGATCTTGTTGCCATGACATTTTTCAAGACCCCCAAATTTAGACCTTCTGCAATTTACAAGGTCACCTAATTTAATCTCACTTTACTGAGTGGGAGGAAATTAAGGACCAGAGAAGCTGAAATTATTTGTCTAAGGCGTCCATCACATATAGTCATAGGATCACAGGTTTAGAGCAGAAAGAGTCTATAGAGGCCATATTATCCAACCCCCTCATTATACTGAGGCTGAGAATTGCCTAAGGAAAGGAGCTGGGATTTGAACCCCAGTCTAGTACATAACACCCTCTTCATACAGTCTAAATTGTCTCATAAGAGTGTTTTTTTGGGGACTTTTCACTACTTGTTGAATGTGTGAAAACTGGGGAGATCCTCCCTGACACCTTGTCTATTTTTTCTCAGGATAAGTTTTCTTGAACTGGTTGTATGTGTTTGTTAGGGTTTTCTTGCAACTGGGGCCGGTCTGCAGGCTCATACTGTTGGAGCTTTCTGGCCTCATTTAAAACTACACATCTGGGGAATGAGATCATGCTCATTCCATGAGAGCAGAGGCCCGGCTCTCCCTCAGCATTTTAGAGCCTCTCCCCCAGGCTAGAGATGGTGGGGGGCCCCACAGACACCCAGATGGCTGGAATGAGGGCATGAGATGCCATTCTCTAACATAGCAGGAGAGATCAATTGTGATCTGAGGAATGAGAGTTCTGGGTCTGGAGTCAGGAGAAGTGAGTTTGAATCCTGGCTCTCACAGTTTCTAACTGTTTGGCCCCAGGTAAGTAATTTCATTTCTCTAGACTTACATCATCTGTAAAATGGAAGCAATAACACCTGCACTTTCTATCTCTTAGGTGGTATATTTTTTGTTTTTCAGTCATGTCCAACTCTTTATGTCTCCATTTGGGATTTTCCTGGCAGAGATACTGGAGTAGTTTGCCATTTCCTTCTCCAGATCACTTTCCAGATGAGAAAACTGAGGCAAACAAGGTAAAGTGACTTGCCCAGGGTCACACAGCTAGTACGTGCCTGAGGCCAGGTTTGAACTTCCTGACTCCAGGCCCACCATTGTATCCACTGTGCCACCTAGTGAGGTATACTCTCTTATAAAAGTACATTGATATCAACTGGCTGATTGATACTGGAGAGCACACCAAATGGGTGCTTTTGGAACACAGTACTAGAGACCTTAGCCCCTCAGGGTTAGCCCTAGAATTCTGAGGAGGAGAAGTCATCATTGTTATCTGAGAAGTTAACCTGTTAGTCCATTTAGATTTGGGAGAGTGAACCCAGAGCGAATTTTACATGAGGATGACATGAGAGAATGTCTGGAAATCATTTTGGGAACCATAAAATGATATAAAAATGTCAACTGTTATTATCTGTAAATTAACGAGCTATCCACAGCCTGCCTCCTCTCCTGCCTCATCATGATGTGCAGATTATCAGAAAGTAGGCCAGGGAAACACAAGCTCTTGTTGGTTCTACCAAGATGGAAATGCTTCAAGATGGCCCCAGCAAGGGCCGAGGTGTTGTCTCTTGCCTGAAGACCAGACTAGTTAAGTTTGGTGAGGCTCATCACCAGATGCTGATGCTATCAGCTGATGGATGTTTTTTTCAGCCACAGCAACTTATTAAACTGTCTAGTAATGCATGCAAGTGTTCGGTTCCATTAAGTAGACATTAATTAAGTACCTACTATATACAAGATGCTTCAATTAAGTGTCGGGGAAAGATGACAATAAAATTATCTCTATTTCAAGGTTTTCACACTCTGTTGGGAAAGGACAATAAACAGACAGATAAATGGATAGAGGGATGAATGAATAAATAAGAACAAACAAATAAGCACATAAATAAGTAAAGGATCATTTGAGGAAGGAACGTGCAGATACAATGAGGAGTATCAGGGAAGACTTCATGGTGGGAAGGGCAGTTGAGCTGAGCCTTGAAATATGGCGCCCATTCATCTTTCTCATTCTTTCTTCTTTCCATTAGGTTACTCAGGATGTTGGGGTTTTGGCTGGGGGTGGCAGCTGGAGCTGAGGAGAGAGGTGCATCTCCGGCAAGGGGGATCTGGATGGAAGGTGGGGAGGGATTCTAGGATGAAAGGTGGTGGGTGATGAGGCTTCTTGCTGGGGCCATCCTCCTTGAACTATGAAGATCTAGCTCTGGTCAGATGAGATTGGAGGTCCCTGACAAGATGGAGAATATCACCTGATGTGGGAGCTTCTGTCTTCTCCTCAGTCTACCTGGATTCCAAGACCATTCCCTATGCTATAGGTCCCCAGGATCATAGCTCCTGCCTTTTCCTCTAGTGAGGTGGGCATCAAATGGGTACTCTTTTGCCTTCTTGAAGATGGCCAGCAATGGAAAACTAAAAGAAAAACTGGACATTTCCTAGGAGTCCTCTCAATATCAGTACTATGCCTAGAAGACTCCTGGGGTCTAGGAGAGGGATAAGCTTGTAGATATTGCTTCATTATGTATCACTAAGCACTATTTAAATTCCATTTATTTGCTTATAGAATTCATGGTAAGAGTAAAAAACCAACTTGTATTTGGCATTCAAACACGTAGGTCGGCTTCTACAGAGACCCAGCTTCATTATGAGTAGGGCTTACTGAAATATAGCAGGTTCACAGTGTAGATGTCAGTTAACCAAGCAGATGGGGGCTCACAACTCTGACTGGGAAGTTGTCATGGGGAAGGTGCACAGATTCCTACACGGCCCTTGATGATGAGCTCGTACTGCCCCATAGAAAGGAACAGAGAGCTGTGGCTTACCTAGTGCTGCCCAGTGTTGGGGTTCAGTCGGCGTCTGATTTTTGTGACCCCTGGGACTACTGTCCATGGAGTTTTCTAGGCAAAGATACTGGAGTGGTTTGCCATTTTCTTCTCCACGAGATTAAGGCAAACAGAGATTAAGTTACTTGCCCAGGGTCACACAACTAGGAAGTGTCTGGGGCTGGATATGAACTCAGGTCTTCTTGACTCCAAGCCCAGTACTGAGCCATCCAGCTGCCCCATCCCATGCCCAGAAGGGAATGTGCAAAACAAAGAGAATGATCATGGAATCCCCCCTCCCCCCCGGAATGACTTAAATTAGTGATTAAAGAAGGAAGAGAAGGATTCTGAAAGGCAATGAAGACAAGAGAGTGTCTTTCAGACATGGTGGACTGCATCTGCAAACATGGAGGCGGGGGGGGCATGCTGAGCTCAGGAATGACGGCTAGCCCAGTTTCACCAGAACATGACACCCGTTAGAAGGGAAGAAGCCCCTCTTCAGAGGGAATCATGGATCCTTGAAGCACCAAAGACCAAATAAAGCAAGTTACTAATTGTAGACTGTCTGAGCTGAGAGGCCCTCAAGGTTATCATGTCCAACCCCTTTTAATAGATGAAGAAATGAGAACCCTAGGAAGTCAAGTGACTCGTCCAAGGTCACACAGAAAGATGATAACTGAGCAGGACATGGGGGAACATGCTATTATTTTCCTTATTTCATAGAGGAGAGAAAACTAACTTTAGAGAAATTAAGTGACTTGTCCTGGGGTCTCACAGCTCCTAAGTATTTGAGGCAGGATGTTACATCAGGTCTTTCTGGCTGTAAGCTGGGCTATCCACAGTGGTACCTGGATGCTGCCTTAGAACCTTGACTTGACCAGATTACTGGAGGAGGGTTTGTTCATTGTGTGAGTCACCCAGGTAGATTTGTCACTTTGACGATTGATCTGTTCCTTCTGCAGATGGAATCCCAGAATTCCAGGGCTCCAAAAGGGACCTCAGGGGACATTGACTCCATCCCTGGCAGAACAGAAACCCCTTCTTGATCATCCCGTGAACAATGCCATCTCCACCTTGGTCTTGACTCCTTCCTTTGGAATGTTCCAACAGACGAGAGGGATGCTGATGTTCTAGGCAGAGAATTGTGGTTTCAGGTGGGAAGGGAATGGCTGAGAGAGATGAATCAGAGGAGCAGCTGGGCTTGTGAGTATCTGTGATAATAAAAATGTTTCTTTAAAACACCCCACAAAAAAGCAACAAAAAGCCCAACCCCCGCTTTTGCTCCTAACCACGCAATGTCTATATACAGCATGCAAACAGAATTGTTTCTAGCTGATTTCACTTTTTTCAGTTGTTCCCATGGGGTATCAGCTGTTTCTTAACAGATGACAAATCTCTGTGGTTAGCTTAACCCATCAGGATCTCTTGGCTATGATCGTTAGATACTTGCCAAAAATATGTGGATGGAATACTGAATAGAAAGAAAAAATAGGAGATGGGGGTGGGGAACATGAAGAGTTATAGCTCAGAGGCGGCATGGAGGAGGTGGAAGGAACACTGGACTGGTTTGAGTCCCCCTCATACTACTAACGTGCTGTGTGACCTTGGATAAGTCACTTCCCTGATTTCAGAGATCCCTTTCTGTGCTGAAACGTTGTCAGTCTCTAATTCCAGGTGTAACCCATGGCCCCCAAAATCTGGGATTACATAGACCCAGTTCAACCTTGAGAGCCTCTAGCAATAACTAAACACTAACAACTCTGGCTCATTTTGCGCCCGCTCAGAGCTTCACGTGAATGTAGCTTATGTCTAGATTTCCACAGATGGTAGTACAAAGACCTCTATAGCTCCTTCACTTGTACAAGAAAATGAGGCAGAAGACAACCTTTATTTCATCCCACATGGATCCTGGGCAGTCCATAAACAATGGATTCAATCTTTTTCCATTATTAGTGAGACTCATCTTCCTCCCAGAGCCCTTTATTATCTTTAAGACACACAGGGTCACTCTATGATCCAGATTCCTTTCATAAGAAAAACTAACTTGGGGTTGATTGGGGGCAAATTCTGGGAAACCCCACGTCCACCCAAGGGAAGCAATAGGCCCCCAGCCTTATGGTATGACCCTAAATGCTTGGCCTGCACATGGAAGCAATGGGAACTCGGGTTCTCTATAGAAATAGCCCCTTCCCACTGGGCTTGCTCTGTCCAGGTAAGGCATGGTATTATTTGAGGGCAGAGCCCAGGCTTTTTGCTCCCTTTAATCATGCGTCAGTCTCTCATTTCTCCCCCATCTGTGGGGCTATGTGTCATGATTCTTCTTCCCCCCAAGGCAGGCTCTGCTCTCTGTTCTCTCACCAGAAGGCTGAATTCCAGGATTCTCTTCTCTTTAAAAGCCTGTTGCTGTCCATACTTCCCCTGCCTCCCTTTTCTCTTTCTGTAAGACTGAGCTCCATAACTCTCAAGCTTGGGGTGACATCAGGGGTAACTATCTGGGAACACCCCCCAGAGCACCCTGACCCTAAAAGGATGGGTGCCAGAACTCTCCAAGAGCCCCTCCAATCAAAAGGTTGGGGTTGGGGACCTCCTACCACTCTGTCATGTGGCTGAGAGTATGTCCAATTGTAATGGGAATGGGAATAAGCAGTTAATGAGTGCCTGCCTTAAGGCTTATTGAACATAACTACATTGGATTTGTTCCATACTAATTCTGTACATATTGACTCTGTATATATTTCTGTATGTGTATGTTGTGCCCCACCTCTACCCATCACCAGTTCCAATAGAATGTAAATTCCTTGAGGACAAAGACTATTTTAAAATTTGTTTTTATGCCTCCCCTGCCTAACATAGCACTTGGCAGATACTAGGTGCTTAATAAATGCATGTTGATTGATTGCGTTGGAGATGGAGCTTCCTATGTGAGGAATAAGAAAGCCACTTTGGCTGGACTGCGGGGGACCCCTAGAGCTTAGGAGAGATGATGCCTCTTAGAAATGCTGGCCACTTTTTTTTGTCCCCTCTGGTTTAAAAGGGAAAGGAAGAAAGGGGGAAAGACAGGTTAGGCAGCTGCCTTATTGTCAGGGAAGATATGTTGAGATTTATGGGACAATGAAGGATGCCAGTGAGTGAAGAGCTGGCTGGGCTGATTTGCCTTGCCAAGAGAGTCAACTTGACCTGTTTGTTTGCTGTGATTTTGTTGGACAACCAGCATCCTAGTAAATGAATAGCTGACAGGGTGTATTGCTGAGATAGCCAGCCTCATGAGCTATGCTTTAAAGGGGACTGTTTTCCAAATTAAGAGGTATCACTTTCCAATGCCCTGTTAAGGGTGATTGTAAATTCAAAGAGCTTGTTCATGCCACATTAGTTCTAGAATATAAGAAATGAGGTTTGCCCAGCTGGAGTATAATGAGTGAGGACCAGAAGACCATTAGTTAGCAGACCATTTATTGTTTGTCCTTTGCTCTCAAAGAGGACCATGACATCAGGAAGATGATGTCATGACTTGCGAATGAATTGGATTTGAGTGAGGGAAGGATGTGCAAAGCCACCAGCCTCACTTTCTCCTCCAGACCCATCTGGGTCCAGTGGCCAGATCAGGACAACTGGAGATGGCCCCAGATACAGTGGTAGACCTTAGCTTTAAACTGAGATCTTTCCCAGGTCTCAGTTTGACTGAGGCAATGCCCATTCAGTGATTAAGGCTAGATGAGAAATGAGGCATATAATGACCTCTTTTACCTAGTCAAAAAAAAAATCAGTCTGGGAGGGGAAGACCCTCAGGGCTTCTGGTCAAAACAGAAATGATTGCTATTTACACTCACTGTGAGCCATTTTGTGTGTTGCAGATGTTCCTGTCTGGACCAGTGACATCAAAGCCTGAGTAACCCAGAGCACATGCTTTTCTTCTTCATGGGCCTCCCTGGGAGGTTTCTGTGTATGCCCACTCTCCCTCCCCCCAGACATAGAGCCATTGGTGGGAGAAGGTGACTTAAACCCATGGGAGCTGATGAAGTCAACAAATGAGACTCAAGGCAGAGTCTTGGGGAATGCTCATAGACAGGGGATATAATACAGATGATGAGGTAGCAAAGGCATGGTCAGATAGGTTGGTGTGTAGGAATAAAGGTCCAAGCTCTGCACTCAGCACCCAAGGACTGTAAAAGACCTCTGGTACCTCCTCTGGAGGATGTATGGAAAGGTGAGGACAATGCACCCTAGTGGTAAGGGCATGGAGAATTCATGATCTGCCCTGGTATTGGGAGTGCCCAAACACACGAGGAAATGGATCCATCTCACTTATGAAGTGAGTCATTTTCTTAGCTTCATTCTCTTAGCTTTCCAGCCATGCTTATTGCAAACCTTGTTCAGCCCATGATTCCCTGCCCTCCTTCTGGACCTCCATCCTAGCAGCCACCTTCAGGCTGGTAATAAACACCTGCACCTCGATCCTTTCCTCCTCTGACTGGTCAATCTGTCCTTGAACCTTGGTCTGAGGAGATGCTCTCACCATGCATGCTGACTCCCAGACTGCTTCTGGACTTTGCCTGGTTAGGTACTGCCCTCTCCCCCAAGTCCCCTTTTATGTGTTGTCTTTTTCCATTGGTGTGAAAGCTCCTTGAGGACAGGGATTGTCTTACTTTTGGTTTGTATTTGTATTCCCTGGGTTTAGCCCTGTGCTTGGCACTGTTCTCTCTCTCTCTCTCTCTCTCTCTCTCTCTCTCTCTCTCTCTCTCTCTCTCTCTTTCTGTCTCTGTCTCTCTCTCTGTCTCTCTCTGTCTCTCTGTCTCTACATAGCTCTATATTTAAGGTCTGTCCCAGTTCAGACGTTCTGCATTCTGAGATCTCTTCCAGCCAGCACAGTCTCTATTCTACTGTGCGTGTTCTGCATGAGGCAGAGTTTTGGAGCTGTCCGGGGCCAACCAATCACTTAAAGAATATTTCCTGAGCCCTTACTACACAGAAAGGGAATGCAGTTGGCCCTAGGGGGATACAAAGGTTTTTGACACAGTTAGTCCCTGCCTTAGGAGAACTTGTGTCTAGCTGCAGGATGTTTGGGATTTCCCCAGGTCCAGCCATTCCTGGGCAATATGTTCCTTCTCAAGAATGACTCAGGGGAGCCTGAATCCCTTTGGCAAGTTTCCTATGAAGGGATCATCTGGCCCTTTCCTGAAGGCCTAGAGGGAGGTGGGAGGGTCAGAGGCCATCTAGTCTAAACCTGAGGCCCGGGTGGGTCATCCAGGCAATCAGTATCAGAGGTAGGACTTGAACCCAGATTCTCTACCTCCACAGCCCGTGCTCTCTCCATTGCAACAAGCTGACTCCTTTCCATTGGATAAGAACTCATTACCTCTCAAGGCGGCTCAATGCACTTTTCTACAGTTCCATTAGAATGTTTTTCCTCATATGGAGCCAAGATCTTCTCCCTCACTGCCACCAAGTAATTCCTGGTTCCTCCCTTTGAAGCCAAGCAGGACAGCTCTAATCCTGATCCCATGGGACAGTCCTCCAAATACTTCAGGACACTGCTCATACCCCCTTCCATCTGTCTCCTCTTTTCCAGGGGGATTATCACCTCCCTAGTCCTGCCCTCTTAACTCAGCCTATGATTGAATTAGCTTTTTTAGCTTCCATGTCACACACAGCTGACTCATCTAGGACTTACAGTGGAAAAAAACCCCCAACAAACCACCAACTCAAACCTCAGGTCTTCTGTACCAACTGTTGCCCAGCCATGATTTCTCAAGGACAGGGATTTTTGACTTTTTTAAAAAAAGTCATGCCTCCTTGGGCACCCTGGGGAAGCCTCTGGACCCTTTCTTCAATTAAAGTTTTTAAATGCATAAAATAAAATATCTAAGATTACAGATGAAACCAATTACATGGAAATAGTTAACATCTTTAAAGAAAAAAAGCTCCTGGCCCCCAGGTTAAGAATCCCTGCTGATGCCAGGCTCTGGTGGTACAAAGGCAAAACTGAAATAGTCTCTGTCCTCAGGGAATCTACATTCCTCTAGGGGAGACACCATGTACATACATAGGTGTATATGAAATGATTTTGGTGGAAAGATGAGCATCCCCCAGAGGGCAACAGAAATGTGCCTGGTTGGGGTGAGAGAAACAGAGGCAGACCGGGTGTCATCAAGGGAGGGACCTGGTCACATGGTAAAATCAGGTATGGTAGGGGGATGCCCTGAGTGCTCTGCTGGTCAGGAGAAATGGAGGAAGGCCTCTAGTACACGGGGAGGACCCTCTGTGGGAAGCTGTTGGGAGAATCACACAGGAAGCTAGGGAAAGAGAGTATTCCAGTCCCTGGGGAAAAGGAGCACGGGGGGAGGTGTATATGTGTTGAATTATATGGAAAGTTATTTGGCAGTAGAAAGCTGTGGCTGGTAAGTCATATAGACGGTGTTACAGAAGGCCAAAGATGATTATGGGCAGGAGGGTACTGGGCAAATGGAGGAGAAAGAATCTGCACTGGGCTTTAAGAGTATAGGTAATACTAGAGCCCCCTCCCCCCAAAAACAAACAAATGAAAACGCCTTTTATTGAGGTCTTTTGTTACTTGTACCAATATATCTTCCTGATATCACTGTTTCATTTCCTTGATGGAAGAGAATCTTCCTGAAAATTCACTGATTCTTCAGGAGATTCACCCAATCTCCCTTTTTAACAGTTAAGCAAAATTAAACTACAAAATGCCTCTATCTATCAGCTAAAATAATCAGGCTGATCTTTTAATTGATTCTACTTACAGTTAATTGATTTTGTTCTATAACTGACTAAGTCATGGTTCTTTGTCTCTGAACTATTTGGAAATTCAGCCAGCCTGTAATGAGTTAAGTTTAGAAGTCCACTTCTCTTATTAATCACCATTCTATTCTTGCCTCAAGGAAAATCTGTCATCCTTGAGAGATACAGATGGACACCAGGGAGTCTGTCTAGTATCTTTACACCACCAAGCTATCCTTCAAGGATGTCTGGTTTGTTATCCAAAGAAGTCTGGTCCACTATCTCTAAGCTAGCAGGTGGTCTCAAACAATGAACATTTCTTAGTCACAGGAGGAAGGAGGGGGGTGTTGCTAGCCCCTTGCTTCCAATTTCCAACCAATCATTGTCCCCCATGCCTCAGCTCTGTGACCAGTTGTAGTGATTTTGCCATTTATAATGATAAGCGCTTTTAACCAATTGTAATTTGTTCCACAGGGCAGGTAGGTGGTGAAGTAGAGAGAATGCTGGCCTTGCAATTAGGAGGACTTGAGTTCAAATCTGGTCTTAGATACTTACTAGCTGTGTGACCCTGGGCAAGTCACTTTACCCTGTTTGCCTCAGTTTCCTCATCTATAAGATGAGCTGGAGAAGGAAATGGCAAACCACTCCAGTGTCTTTGTCAAGAAAACCCCAAATAAGGTCACAAAGAGCAGACATGATTACTTGATTAAACAGCAACAAAAACTTATTCCCTGCCTACAAAATCCTATTCCTCCTCCTTCTCCTTCCTATGAAAAGAGTAGCGTTCCCCACCTTGGGGTCTTTGCTTTGCTGAGGGAGCTGAGATCCTACTTATTGAGAAATTTGCACTTTCCTAATTGTGCTTGGAATGCTGTGCCCTGGTTTACCTTATTTTGATTGTAACAAGTCTATGCGATAACTGAGAACCTCCCACCTCTGCTGAGAAAGGTGTGTTTCATAGCATGACCAAGATTAGGTCATGACAATTAATCTGAGTTTGGCCGACTCTGTGGTGTACATTTACATTATTGTAGTCATTGTGAATATTGTCCGCCTGGTACTGCTTCCTGTGCCCTGTATCCATTCATACATGTCTTCTCAGGTTTCTCTGAACTCTCAGATTTGAAGTCTTTCATACTACAAAAACATTTCATTCCATTCAAATAACCTGGATTTTCAATCCTGGGGCGTTTTGTGTGCTGGTGCTTAGGTGTGACTGTGGATGGTGGAGAGAATGCCTGGTGTGACATTCTTGGCGTAAGAGCTTAGGAGAGCAGAGGCTTTCTTTTTCCCTCTTTCTCAATCTGTCTGCAGTCAGTCCCCAAGAAAGTCTGGTACTACACATATCCCCTTGAAAAAAAGAAAAAAGAAGATGATTTCTCTCCTCCTGAGCTCTCATACCAACTCCACCCCTTCCTCATCATAGCTCCCATCAGCGTTCTTTCTGCCAATCTGGAGTCACACCTAAGCAACAACATGTGAAATGCCCCAGGACTGAAAACCCAGATAGTTTTCTTATACTAGAATTTGTTCAGCGATTCCCCAAATGGATGGGCACACACTTTGTTTCCTGTTTTTATCATTGTTGCTGCTATCACCCAGTGCTGCTGTGAATGTTTTATTGTATGTGTAGGTAGGATTTTGACATATTTCCTTGAAAGAAGTATGAGGGAAGTAGGGGCTATAGGCCATCGTAGGCTGGGTTCTGCCCTTTTACTGGCAGTGTTAATGACATTGGAGCATTACCTGGGTCCGTGACAAAGAGCTTTGTGTCTTCAGAATGTGTTGGTTGTGAGCATTTCCCCTTGAGGTAGGAGGGCAAAGTGCCCAACTTCCCCACTTTTTTCACTTGGGTGTAAGAGCCCAGAGCCATGGAAGTCAGCAGGCCTGGGTTCTAGTCCTCATCTCTGAAAGGGAGGTGGGGCTAGCAGGTGTCTCAGGGCCTTTCCAGCTCAAACATTTGATGGTTTCGAGGGAGTGGGAGCGGATGGGAATGAGTGCTGGAGGAAGCAGGACTCTCCCTGCTCCTTTTGAACCTTGGCAAGTGGGAAGCTTGCTTAAAAAGCCCTGCCCAAGGCCTTGGGTCCTGCTGAGACAGCTCTTTTCCCAGCTCTTCACAAAATGTCAGGCACCCACTGCACACCTGGCCATGGGCTCCTCAGGGGACTTTTCGCCCCACACCCATAATCTCCAGAGAGTTGCCTGAGCCAGACACAGAGTTGTGTCTCTCTGTTCTTGGTGGAGGAGCTTAGCAGAGCCAGGCCTGGGCATTTTTGCACCTGAGGCAAATAGTACAAAAGGTACTTTTAGTTCAGGCAGAGTGAGGTGGGATGCCCGCACGGCTGGTGGGAGACAGAGACCCCAGGGACTCAGGCATAAAGCTACCCCACTAGCGGTGGTGAGAGAGGAAGGAGCAAAGGCCAATAGCTCTGAAACTAGAAGAGACCTTATAGGTCATGCAGACCAACCCTTTCATATTACAGAGGAAAGAAACTGAGACCCAGAGAGGCTGAGGTCAGAAGGTGGCAAAGGGGAAAATCACTGGGCTTGGAATCAGGAAGACCTCAATTTGAATCTTGTCTCTGACATTTGCTGGGCTAGGAAGACTTAGTTTTCTCAACTGGAAAATGGGGATAATAATAGCACCTACCTCCTGGAGTCATGAAGATGAAATGAG